TCGGGAAGTAACCCGAATCCTACTCAGGGAAATTATACCCAGATATGGGCTCCCACTCACCATTGGTAGTGACAATGGCCCGGCATTCATCGCCCAGGTGGTTCAGGAGGTCGCCCGGCTCCTGCACATCGACTGGAAGTTACACACGGCCTATCGGCCCCAAAGCTCCGGTAAAGTGGAACGAATGAACCGAACTCTCAAGGAAACCCTAGCTAAGTTCCATCAAGAAACCGGCCTGCCATGGACAGACCTGTTACCACTAGCCCTGCTACGGGTTAGGAATGCCCCGAACCCCTCGGGGTATACTCCCTATGAGTTAGTTTTTGGAAGACCCCCACCTATAACTAGAATAGGAAGTCCCAATGACCTTCGACAGAAGGGGGAGTTACAGCAGACCCAGTACTTACAACAGTTGGGTAAGACCCTAGACAGGATCTACGGGGCCCAATTGGGCCAGGAACCCAAACCCCGAGGGAGGCCAGCACACCCCTTCCGTCCAGGCCAGTATGTATGGGTAAAGGATTGGAAAAAGGAACCACTCCAACCCATTTGGACGGGCCCACATCTAGTACTATTAACCACCCCTACTGCCCTTAAAGTTACAGGAATAACCCCCTGGATCCACTACACTCGAGCCAAGGCAGCAGCAGATCCAGACGAGCCAGGACTTCGGAGCCACCGAACCTCCACCTCGAAGGGAGCCCCCACAGTCCGGCTGAAGAGAACTGAAGGACAGTGGGCCGTCTACCCGAGGAACCAGAGACCTGATCCTACCCCAGAGTAGTGACCAACCATCTTAGTCGGCAACCAAGGCATGATCCCTGCAGAATAGGCGAGCCCTAGATCTCCTCACAGCAGAAAAAGGGGGGACTTGCCTATTCCTAGGCTGGAATCTTAACCCAGAAGGTTAAGGAGCTGAAAGATGGTGCGAAGCGCTACCGAGAGTCAGGGCAAGGGACATGGAGCTTAGATACCCAAATCTGGCTCCGCTGGCTGGCTCCATTCCTAGGCCCCCTGATATTACTCCTCTTAGGAATAAGTCTAGGACCCTGGCTGCTGCGCACCCTCATTAATAACCTAGAGACCGCGGTCACCAGACGAGCCGCTGCTCGAGTGCTGCTCCTCCAGCATCACCGATACCAAAGACTCCCGACCCAACCCCAACAGAGTGACCACCGTGGCTTGTGTGATGATGCTGAGACTCAGGCCAATCTCGTCTAGCATCAAAGGGGGGAATGATAAGGGCAAGATGACTTAAGAGGAGCAGCCTAGCCAGAGACCCCTCCCAGGTTAACTGTTAATCATTGCTTATCTGTTCCTGTAGCCCGTTTTCACATCCCTTCCCCCGCCTGGGTAGCACATCAATCTCATCAATCTCCCACCTGAATGCTAATCCCTTCCCCCACCTGGGAAGCCCATCCGTTTCCCGCCGGAATGCTAGGGCTTATAAACCCCTATCTAACCCCGATTCGGGGCTCAGAATTTGGAGACTGCCTCCTCTGAGCCTGGGCGTGTGAATAAAGGCTTACTCCATTCCCTGAATCGTGTCTTGAGTCTGGCTTTCCGTAACATCGTCACTTTGGCTCAAATACACTTATAAAAATTCTCTACTGATTTAGACTTTTTTTAAAGATTTTATGTATTTATTTTTAAAGAGGGGAAGAGAGGGAGGAAGAGAGGAAGAGAAACATCACTGTGTGGTTGCATTTCGCGTGCCTCCTGCTGGGGACCCGGCCTGCAACCCAGGCATGTGCCCTGTATTGGGAATCAAATCGGTAACCCTTTAGTTTGCAGGCCTGCACTCAGTCCACTGAGCCACACCAGCTAGGGCAGGTTTGGACACTTCTTATGTTGACACTAACTTCTGCCCCCAGAGTTCACGCAAACTGCTCTTGAAGAAGTCATCAGTGGCCTTTACTTCCTTCTGGGCAAATCAACAGAGTGTTCTGAACTCTCCCCAGCTGCACTTTCCACTTGTTGAAGACCACTAAGCCATTAACAATCATGGCCTCCAACCAGTGGCTAAACTAAAATAAAACTTTCTCTTTTTTTTTAAGATTTTATTTATTTATTTTTTAGAGAGAGTGGAAGGGAGAAAGAAAGAGAAGTAGAGAAACATCAATGTGTGGGGGAACATTGATGGGTTGCCTATCAGGCTGCAACCCAGGCATGTGCCCCAGTTGGAAATTAAACTGATGACCTTTCACTTTGGGGAACAACACCAAACCAAATGAGCCACACTGGTCAGGGCGTCCATTTTTAATTTTTAAAGGAACCTCCATACTGTTTTCCATAGTGTTTACACCAATTTACAATCCCACCAACAGGGCACAAGGGTTCCCTTTTCACCACATCCTTGCCAACGCTTGTCCTTTGTTGTCTTTTTGATAATAGCCATTCTGAGAATATGAGTTAATATCTCAACATGGTTTTGATTTGTATTTCCCTGACGACTAAAGATGTTGAGCATCTTTTCATGTGTGTTGGCCATCTGTATGTTTTCTTTGGATAAACGTCTATGCAGGTCTTCTGCCCATTTTTTAATTGGATATTTTTTGGGTTTTTTAAATTTCTTTATTTTTATTTTATTGATTATGGTATTGCAGTTGTCGCATTTTTTTCTCCCCTTTATCTCCCTCTGCCCTGCACACCCTGCCCTCCAGCATTCCCCACAACTTAGTTCATGTCCATGGGTCGTACATATGAGTTCTTTGGCTTCTCCATTTCCTAAACTGTCACAGCTGGGCACAAGTAACCAGGTTCTTGGTAACCGAATCCACAGATTTTATAGCAGAAAGCGAGAGCAAGCATATTTATTAAGCCACGCAGGCCAACTCCAAGCAGAACAGAGCAGAACTGAGCAGAGCTGAGCAGAGCCTAACAGCCCTGACCTCAGGGGCTCGAGGGCTTTTATTCTTTTAGGGCGTGTCTCTCCTGGCTAGTTTTAGCAGACTTTTATTGCACATGTACAAGTAGTTATATTACTTTAAAGTTACTGCTCATGTGGTCTCCCATGATTTCCTTGATTGGCTACTGGGAAGGGGGTCCCACAAAGCTAATTTATTATAATGCTATTATAATGAAGCAGGGGTCAGGTAGCATCTTCTGCGAAGGTGCATTGCTGATTCACTAGGATTCAGTGCTTTTCCAGAAAGCAGGAACTACTAGTCTTAAAACAGGGTCTCCTCCCTTTGTCCATGTTCTTTATCTTAGCCCTGGGGCAACTCTGGAGTTTCCCCCTTCCTGACTACCTCAATACTATTATTAGCCTCCCCCTGTCTATTTTGTGCCTACCAATTATGCTTCTTATTCCCTGTACCTTTTCCCCCATTCTCGCTCCTACCCTTCCCCCCGTCATAACCCTCCATGTGACCTCCATTTCTGTGATTCTGTTCCTGTTCTAGTTGTTCACTTAGTTTGTTTTTGTTTTCATTTTATTTTTTTAGGTTTAGCTGTTGATCACTTTGAGTTTGTTGTCATTTTACTGTTCATAGTTTTGACCTTCTTTTTTTTTTGCAGATAAGTCCCTTTAGCATTTCATATAATAAGGGCTTGGTGATGATGAACTCCTTTAACTTGACCTTATCTGGGAAGCACTTTATCTGCCCTTCCATTCTAAATGATAGCTTTGCTGGATACAGTAATCTTGGATGTAGGTCCTTGCCTATCATGACTTTGAATACTTCTTTTCAGCCCCTTCTTGCCTGCAGGGTTTCTTTTGAGAAATCAGCTGGTAGTCTTATGGGAACTCCTTTGTAGGGAACCGTCTCCTTTCCTCTTGCTGCTTTTAAGATTCTCTCCTTATCTTTAATCTTGGGTAATGTAATTATGATGTGCCTTGGTGTGTGCTTCCTTGGGTCCAACTTCTTTGGGACTGTCTGAGCTTCCTGGTTCTCCTAGAAGTCTAGTCCCTTCACCAGATTGGAGAAGTTTTCCTTCATTATTTTTTCAAATAAGTTTCAATTTATTGGTCTTCCTCTTCTCCTTTTGGCACCCCTGTGATTCGGATGTTGGAACATTTAAAGTTGTCTCAGAGGTTCGTAAGCCTCTCCTCATTTTTTTGAATTCTCATTTCTTCATTCTGGTCTGGTTGAATGTTTATTTCTTCCTTATGCTCCAAATCATTGATGTGAGTCCCAGTTTCCTTCCCTTTACTGTTGGTTCCCTTTATATTTTTCTTTACTTCAATTTGTATGGCCTTCACTTCTTCCTCTATTTTGCGACCATACTCAACCAATTCAGTGAGCATCCTGATTACCAGTGTTTTGAACTGTGCATCTGATAGGTTGGCTGTCTCCTCATCGCTTAGTTCTTTTTCAGGAGTTTTGGTATGTTCTTTCCTTTGAGCCATATTTTTTTGTCTTGGTACACCTGTTACATTGTAAGGAGACTTAGGTCTTAGACAGGGTGGGGGACAACCCACGTCACTATGTTGTGGAGCTATCTGTGGGGGAGAGTTTAGAGAGGGAAGAATGACATTTGCTTGGCTCCCAGCTTTCAATGACTTCCCTCACTTCCCACAAGTGGATTGTGCCCTTTCAGGTGCTGATTCCTGAATGGGTGGGCTTGTGTACGTTCTAGGATCCTATGGGCCCCTCCAACAGACTCTCCTGTGAGACTGGGAGTTTCTCCCGCCACCACAACCCCTATAAGTTTTTATAGCCAGAGGTTTTAAGGCTTTAGTTTCCCCCGCTGGAACCCGGGGTTGCATGCTCTCTCTTGCTCCCCAATTGTTCCTCCCAGCTTACCCTGCTCTAGGCCACACTTCTTATTGCAGAGACCCTAAACCCAAATGGTTGGTACCAGATTGAAAAGCTTTTTAACCAATGGCTGAGGTGGACTGGGTCTCCAACTGGTTGTGAGCTCCCGCCCTGAACCCAAGTGAGTTTAGTTCAAGCTGCACATTTCCTTTTTGCAATAGCATATTACCTATTTAAATCTGTCGTCGGTACTTTAATTGACTTCTGCCTTTATCTTTTTCAGTAGTCACTACTAGCAGCTTAAAACACTGACACTTAACAGAAATTGATTGCCGGCCCCAAATCATAGAGCAGAGCTGGGCTTCCCCGCGCCCTGGGTCTCCCGGTCTCCAAGAGATTGAGGAGAGTGATCAGGGCCGTAGGTGGAGCAATTTGCGAAGGCCTCGGGGCGGAGCAGCGAGCTTTCAGCGGGAGAGGACTGAGTGGACAAGTTCCGCGGAACCTTTCCAGCCTGCGTCCAGATGCTGCGCGTCCTGACCGGCGCCCTGAGCCTAACGCGACCCTGGAGTTCCCCTCGGGCCCGTGGCTGCGTCTCGGATGTAACGGCCCGGGACCCGGAGATCCAAGTACGCGCCCTGGCGGGTCCGGACGAAGGTGAGTGCGCTGTCTCTGGGAGCACCCCCCAGAGGCGGCTGGGGCGAGCCGGGGTAGAGTTGAGGAGGGGACACCTGGCACTGCTGCCCGCGCCGGGACGATGGCCAGCGCATCCACAGACCAGTAGTGGGAAGTAGGGTCTCTCAGTGCGTTTCAGGATTTGGTCCCAAATCCCCTGCGTCCCATTCTAGACTCCGCGAGAGCGAGTGGCCACCTTACTGGTCGCCCTGACCCTCACTGGAGTGAAACTATGTCAATATCGGTCCTCAACCCCGGGTTCGGTGGCCGGGCTGTGAGGAAGGCAAGAGGAGTCGCTCAGGGGTAGGACTTGGCACCGGCACCCCCACCCCCGGAGCTTCAAAAGGCATGATTGCCCTGCAGGGTCAAGGACACTGGCAAGGGTCCAAGGGGGCTGAGGCCGCGGAGCCAATCCGGCTAGTCGTGCAGGGCCGCTTTGAAGGGAGGAGGGTGAGGGCAGAGGAGGGCGGGTCTTCTCCCGGCGGATTGGCCCGAACGCTGTAGGCTACATTTTGCGTTCAGCTGATCCAAAAGGGAAAGTTAGCCGGTCTCTGGCAGAAAACACCTTTTTTTTGCGCTTTGTGTTTATTCTTTTTGTTTTGCTGTTATCGTTACCCACAGCCCTCAGTCCTCTGGGCCCTACCATCAAGTCCAGGCCGCTCTCTTTATTTTCTCCCCAGCCCTGTCTCCTCTTCCCTGTATTTCATGGACCATTGTCTGTGTCAGGATTCTAACTTAGTGCCCTGGCCGTGTAGCTCAGTTGGTTAGAATGTCCTCTCTGTACGACAAATTTGCAGGTCCCATCTTTGGCCAGGGCACATACAAGAATCAACCAATGAATATATTGGTGCCCACCCTCTCTCTCTCCCTCCCTCCTTCCCTACTGTCCTCCCTCTCAAATCAACAAATTTAAAAAATGTTAAAAAGAATTTTAATTTACACAGATGGCATTGGACTCCATATCTCCTATTCCCCTCCCCTTCCACCTCATACTACCTTTTGAAGGGCAGCTTTGCCAAATGAATCTAGTCCCTTGCTCCCTGCTGTGGCACACTATTCCCTGGTGTGTATGCCCCACTTTTCAACGGCATGTAGAGGCTGCGAAAGTCCTATTACATCACTTGTATCACTTGGTGCAAATGCCTCTGGGCATGTGGGATTGCTGAATCTTAGAGAATACCCTTTACCCTCATTGCCAAACCGCCCACAGTGCTTGCCTTGAGATGGTTATGATTGTTCTCTCCATTTAACAGAGGCATAGAGAGGTTAAGCAATTTGAACCAGGTCTGATTTAAAAACCTATGTTCTCAACTATTAAATAATCACTGCCTCTTCTGTACAAAACACAGATTTGTATACTAGTAAACATCATTTTCCAGGGTTATAGACCTTTCAAACAGAACATTATTGTCCAGAAATAACAAGGATCAGCAGATTAAGCCTCTTGCCCCTGCCAGAGGGCATTTAGAAGGTCATTGAGGGACAAAGATAAGGAGAAGCTGTGGAGGAGGCATGAGGGGTAGGCTCCCACACAGAAGAAATACCACCTCCCTGCCCGCAAAATGATCTGGGGTCATTTGATGTTAGGAGCCACAGGCTCTGCCTTCCTCTTGGACTGATAGCATCAGAGCTTTTTCACATAATTTTACCTGTTGTTCTTGAACATGGGATTGGCTTGTTAACCACCCTTCATTCTTCTTTTTGCTCTGCTCCACTCCTCCCTTAGCAGAGTGTTAGGTTCTCCACCACAGCTGACCCTTTCATCTTTTCTACCCGTGGGTTCCTTTTAAGCTGTTCCCACTGTGTGTTTTATTCTAGCTATGCCCCTGACTTGAGTCCTCTTCTTTCCTGTCTGCCTATGTAAATCCTTCTGGAATTACCACCTCCTAATGTCCTTTACGTTCCATGTGTCTGCACTTGAATCCCTCATAGGTTGGTAGCTCTTTGAGAATAAGGATTGCTAGCTGGGTCTAGCTGTTAACTTAGGCAAATTCTCTTCTTTTCTTGCTTTTGATGTCCACTTCTAGTAAGGGGTAGTTAAACCAATTGGTCTCTGTATTACCTCCATTGGTTTCTGTTGACTCCTGCCCATATCACCAGGCCTGTGACCCAGGCCATCCAGACAGAAGTGACCCTGGCCAACCTCAGCTCTCAGAGGTTGCCCACAGTTCCTTGAAACATGACCTTCTCCATAGATCCACCAGTTTCTCTCACTCGCACTAGCAAAACAGGGTCTGATATATAGTATAACCTAACCACGAAAGTAACATCTCAGCACCTTTGCCATCTAATTTAATCTAATCTTGAAAGTGACATTTGGTAACCTTAGCTATATTCTTTTGGTTAGAAGCAATGATTAGGTCCTGCCCACACTCGAAGGAAGGGGACGTGAAGAGAGGAGCCACTTGAGGGTCTGTCTGCCACAATGACCTTGGACCTAGACTGTTTTCCTCAACCTCTCCGATGTGGTTTCTCTGTATCTACCACAGTTTATCTTCCCAACGTTGCAATTTTTTGTCTTCTGAAGCACCAGAGCTGGAGAGGACCGTGGGCACATCTGAGTTCCTCTGTGGGACCTCCAGACCTGCTGGACTCAGCGAGCTCTGAAAATTTCTAAGAAGGTTAAGGAAGTCCACCCAGCTTGAACGTTGCAGTCTCTGCCTTGGACCACTGTTCCCACAGTTCTCTAGCTTCAGGCTGGAAACTCTGTCCCTTGAGAGCCCTAAACTTTCTTTGGCCCTTCTCTATGTCTCAAATCAATTCACACTGAGTGTGCTATCTTAATAAATACTGTTTGTTCCACAGACAAAGCTAAGGACCCTTGGACAAAATAAATAAATAAATAAATAAGGGGCCTTTGAATGCCAAAGGATTGCTAAACACTGCTCTGGTCCATCCCTGACATTTTAGAAGACGAGAAATGGGCCCTTCCCAGAGCTGGTGTCCCTTCCCCACAGCTGGCCCAGACTGCGGGCATGAGTTGAGGTCAGACAGGTGTGCGAGGGCCAGACTGTGATGTTGGGGGGAGTTCTGTGGGTGGTATTAAAGATTGGACTAGATTGGACTTGACTTTGATGAAAAGGGGAGGGGAGGGACACGGTTGGATTTGGATTAGAAAGATGACTGTGACCCAAATGAAGGAATGAATAGGGAGGGAGAGCAAAACTGAGGGAGGACAATAGGACCAGCTGGGTGATCCACGCAATAGAGGAAAGAGCCCATATCCAGTTAGTGGCTGCAATGGGCGCTGTAAGCTGAAGGATCTAAGACCTATTTAAGAGGTTGAATTGGCAGGCCTTGGAAACTGAGTAAATTTCACGGGTAGGGGAGAGGAAGGCCACACCACGGACATCTGGGTTGACAGTGCAGTCTTCACTCACCAAGGGAACAGGAGAAAGATTGATAATTTTGGAACATGTCAAGATGTCAAGTGGGTAGTTGGATACTCAGCCCGGGAACTCAGAGGAGAGTTCTGGACTGGCCGGGTATGCAAGGCAGCCCTGGGGATATGGGAGGCAAGCACATGGGAGGTACAGAAGAAGGGGCAGAGGAGTAAGCCCAAATCTCCCAGACTCTCCTGCCTCACCTTATACTTGTTCTCCCTTTGCTCCAAACTCCTCCTGTTCCAAAAGACCCTGAAAGATGACAAAATATGTTACCCCCAAACATGCCTCTTCATCATAAGGACTACTTTGTGCTAAAGGCACCTGAAAAACGACAGCAGATGCATGAAAGGTATGCTATTTCGCCTTTTCTTCCTAAGACAGGAAATAAATACTCCCCTGTGAAAGCTGCTCTTCTTATACTAGAAGAAACATTCTTCACCAGAGAGTCAAAGCCAAGAGAATTCTGTACAAACATACCTTGTTAAAAGATTCTTATTTTCCTTTAGCCTCCCCATATAGTTTATTACCTTTCCACAATCTCTTCTCTTTGTTCAACCTACTATAAAAGCATGTAGCTTTCCACCATTTCTGTGTGTGTTGGCGGCGGGGCCGGGGGAGGGTCTTCATTTCCTTATAAGGGCTCCCATATCATGTAAAACTTGTATAAATTTGTATCCTTTTCTCCTACTAATATGTTTTATGTCAGTTTAATTCTCAGGCCCAGGCAAAAATCCCTCAGAGGCCCAGCTCTACAGATTTTGTAAAACCTCTCCTACAGCACCCTGTTCTACCACACTCCGAGCCGCATTTGTGCAGCTCCCTCTGCCTGGAATGAGCTTCTCCCCTGACCAACACACACACACACACACACACACACACACACACACACACACACACACACTTTTGCCTTCCTGGCTCCTAGTCATCCCTGAGCTCTCAGCCTAAAGGTCACTTCCTCCCCTAGGAGGTCATCGCTGACCTTCTACACTAGGGTTCCCCTTGGTCCACTCTGTACCTCTTATCTCCTTGTCCTTTTTACCCCGTGTTCTCATAATAGTATTTGTTGAATGTCTGCCTTCTCTGCTAGACTGCAGGTTCTGAGAGGAGAGGGGCTAGGTCTGCCTGGTCTCTGGAACCGCTGCATCTAGTATGGAGGCTAGCATTTGCTAAATACATTATTTAATTGTACAAATGATTAAATAAAGAGGTCCTGGATTGAGCTTTCAGGAACTCTGACATTAAGAAATTGCATAGTCCATTTTTCCATCTTATCTTATGCCTGAAATGAACATTTTTACTTCTTCTCACCTTGTTCAAATGCTTCCATCTGTGTGATCTGCCATCTGTAATCCTATAAGTACTTTACATACTTACCCGACTCAAGACCTTGTATTTTAATTTACTTGTCTTAAGTTATAAGCACCTTGTGGGCAGGGACTGTTACCTAGCTTATAACTCCGACAATTTCTTATATATTATAATTGTTCGATAGATATGTAGTGTTTCTTTTTTATCGCCAACACTTAGGATTTTTTCCTGATTTTTTAGTTTTGGCCCTTGTACTGGGTGTATAGTCATATCTCATTTATGCTTTTTAAAACTCTCATTTATTTGATACTAATAAAATTAAACATCTTTTCATGTGCTTATTAGCCATTTGTATATCTTCGTTTGTGGAGTTACCTTTTGTAAGAGTTGGGCTCTTTAAAAATTGAGATATAATTGACATATAACATTATATTAGTTTCAAGTATACAGCAAAATGACTCAGTATTTGTTACATTGTGAAATAATCACCACAGTAAGTCTAGTTAAGATCCACCACAGCACATAGTTACACATTTTTTTCCTTGTTCTCAGTACTTTTAAGATCTACTTTTTTAGCAACTTCCAAATATACAATACTATTAGCCATAGTCACCATTACATTCCCAGGACTTATTTATTATAGGTATGTGTTTAGTAAATGAGTTAAGAATTTTAAAAAATTGAGTAGAAGAAAACCTAGAGAAAAACTACAGAGTAGCATCTGAGAAGAAGGAGGAAGACAGGAGAATGTGGGGCCACAGGGCAGGTACATGTTATTATATATTAGTCAAAACCCTAGAACGGGGGACAGGGGTATATGGGAACTCTCTATACTTTCTGCTCAATTTTGCTGTGAACCTAAAACTGCTGTAAAAAAATTAAAAAACAACAACAAAAATCTAAGTTTATTTTTAAAAAGCCAAGGCAGATAATGTTCAAGGAGGAGCATGTATATATGGTCACCAGTTGATTGTGCTAAGGCTGGGACCAGGATAGAAATTTGTCCCTTAGTTAATGATGTGGTCACTTTGGTGAGAACTGTTTCTGCTGAGTGATAGGAATGGGAGCTAGATTGGAGAAGCCTTAAGTGAAGAGAAGACAAGAAAGTGATTAAATAACTACTGAAAATTCCTCAAGAAGCTTAGCTATTGCTAGTGAAAGGTCATTTCTCAGGTAGAGCAAGTGTTAATCTCTTGCCAAAGGGGACAGAACATGAGTGTCGTCAGTCCCCTGGGTTTAGTTGATAAGGGCCAGAGGAACCTGCTGACCTGACCCATGATTATGCAATCTGCAAAATCCAGACTTCAGGAAACCCTACGTGTCAAATGTCCCAGGTTCCTTAATAAATAGGCATTGAGGGAAAGGCAACCTAGAGTCAGAAACTGAGGATTTTAACAAGCTTTTAAAAGACACATCAAGCCCTAGCGAGTGTGGCTAAGTGGATTGAGCGCCGGCCTGCGCCGACCAGTCGCTGGTTCAATTCCCAGTGTAGGGCACATGCCTGGGTTGCAGGCTAGGTCCCCAGTAAGGGGCTCATAAGATGCAACCACACACTGATGTTTCTCATGTTTCTCACCCTCCCTTTCTCCCTCCCTTCTGTTCTCTAAAAATAAATAAATAAAATCTTTAGAATTAGGGAGAAAAAGACACATCAACTTTTTTAAAGTTAGCACGTCTAAACTGTAATGTTTACTGATGCGCACTTGGGTGATGAAATTATAAAGAAATAAATGGAAGTGATGACTAGAAGCCAAAAGTGTTGTTACTTTTGAAGCTGAGGAGGAAGCTATGACTGAGTCAGGGCACATGAGCGGGTTTTTGGGTGGTAGTTACAAAGGTGTTGGCTTATTATAACTCATTCACCTCAAAAGGAGGAAGTCCAGCTGTGAAGGGAAGAATATCGTGGAGGAGCCATGAAACTGAAGAGAAAGCGTGTGGGTGTGTGACAATGGCAGAAGCAGGCAGGAGTCACTGCAGGGGTCATTCTTGTCTCTCCCCATGTTCTCCAGAGTTCACAAGCCCTTCACTTCTTTGGGGAGGCAGAAATGACAAGGGTCAGTCTCTCTATTCTATAGGCAGGAAAATTGAGGCCTGGGAATGTGGGACTTTCCCAAGTCACATTGCTGTTCCAGGGCAGAGGCTGCCCAGGCCCCAGCCCAGGAATGAGCAGGCCAACCGACTCACCCAAGGTTGCCCGGTCCCCTGCAGGAATCACCGAGGTTATAATGAACAGACCGCATGCCCGCAATGCCCTGGGATACGTCTTCGTCAGTGAGGTGAGGAAGGGCGGACACCAGGGTGGGTTGGGGCTGGGTTGGCAGGTATCTGACAGGGTCTCCTCTGCAGCTGCTGGAAGCTCTGGCCCAGCTGCGGGAAGACCGGCAAGTGCGTGTCCTGCTCTTCAGAAGTGCAGTGAAGGGCGTGTTCTGTGCAGGTGAGTTTCCTCCCCTGCCGCACCCCAGGTCTCCTCAGAGCTCCCACCAGCCTGCAGGGGTTGGTAGGGCTTAGGTCAGCTCTAGCATAGGACTCATGACTCCCATTTCACTGATGTGAACTCAAGACTCAGAGGTAAAATTCCTTGCCTAGGGTTACATAACTAGTAAGAACTAGAATACAATTCAGTCTGAAGTTGGCCTCTCTGACCCCCAAATCCTTATTCTTTTGGCTACACCATGCTGTGTTCTGACCCTTTACTGAGGAAATGAGGTAACTGAATCAAAGGAAGTCATAGAGTCAGTGGTCAAGATGGAACTTTGTGCCCCTTTGCCCAGTCCTGTCACCAAAACTTTCTACTCTCCCTGAACCATTTGGTCCTCGGAACAGGGCAAGCACCATGAACTTCTGTGTCAAAGAAATACCACATCCCAGGCCCACAAGAGGCAAATCAATGAGAGCTAAGCTGAGCTGAGCTAAGAACCTGTGCTGGGATGTTTGGGGAGAGGGTAGTGGGGGTTCACTGGGGAGGTGGGGAGGTGGTCATGGAGGGATGGGATGGGAGGAATATGACTTTCAGGAGTTTTCAAGGGGATGTGGCTCTGTCCCTAGATATGAGCCTTTGGAATCCTGGTGCCCTGGCGTCTCCCCTAGCAGGACAAGTATGCAGACCGGTCCACCTGACCCAGCTGCCCTGGCTGAGGTGCTCGTCCTACCCTGGCCTCTTTATCTCCAAATCTGTCTGACTTCCTCTATCAAGGTCACTTCATGCCCCTGTCAGCCCCAGTCCTCACTGCCCCAGAGGAGCAGGCTGCCAGAGGTCTGGGTCTTCCGTCTCGCTCTGGAACCCTGAGCTAGTCTCCGCCCCTCCCTGGGAACCCAGTTACCCCGTGTCATTGAGGGGCTGGAACTAATCAAGATTTCCAAGGGCTCTCCCAGGTCTGACTTGAAAAGACTCTATTCTCCCTCCACTGTCACTTCAGCATCCTGCCGTCTGATCTTTGATGACCTCACCAGAGTCACTACTCCCACCAATGTCCCTGCCCACCTCTGGTCTACGCTCTATTTCTATGAATTTGCCCATTCTAGGTGCCTCTTACCAGTGGAAGCACACATTTGTCCTTTTGTATCTGGCTTATTTTACTTAGCATAGTGTCCTCACGGTTCATCCATGCTGGAGCGTGAATCAGAACGTCATTACTTTTTATGGCTCAATGATATTCCATTGTACATATACACATTTTGTTAATCCATCCATTGTTAGACACTGTATTGTTTACACCTTTTGCCTATTGTGAATAATGCTGCTGTGAGCATTAGTGTACAAGTATCTGTTAGAGTGCTTACTTTCCATTCTTTTGGTGGTATTCTTAGGAGTAGATCATAGTAATTTTATGTTTAACTTTTTTGAGAAAACTCAAAAAGGCTTTCCAAAGCAGCTGCATCATTTTATAATCCCACCAGGGTTCTCCACATCCCATTTCTTTTCTGTTGTTTTTGTTTATAATAACCATCCCAATGGGTGTGGAATGTTAACTGGTCATGATTTTTTTTGCATTTCCCTAATGACTGAGCATGTAACCATCTTTTCATGTGCCATCTGTATATCATAGACTTTGGAGAAGTTTTTTCGAGTCTTTGTCCTTTGTGGGGTTTTTGTTGTTTAGTTGAAGGAGGTCTTTATATATCCTCGTCATTAATCCCTTATCAGGTATGTGATTTACCAATGTTTTCTTCCATTCTACATGTTGTCTTTTCACTCATTGATAGTGTCCTTTGACCCACACAATTTCTTTATTTTGTGAAATCCAACTTTTCTTTCTGTTGTGGCGCCTCCTTTTTTTGATTCCCTCTCCTCTTTCCTCCTGGCTTCCTTGACCAACGCTTCCAGGTGTTTCTCCTTCCTCTCTGGCTGCCCCTCCTCAAGTCTCCTTTGCGGGATCCTTTAACAGCCTAGGACTCAGTAACGGGTTATTTCCCAGGGACTGTCACCAACCCTTCACCTGCAGGTGCAGACCTGAAGGAGCGGGAGCAGATGAATGACGCCGAGGTGGGGGTCTGGGTGCAGCGGCTCCGAGGCCTGATGAATGAGATTGGTGAGGATCCTGGAATGGGGTGGAGGAGGGCGCTGAGGGGCCCTGCTGATGGAAGCCCCACCCTCCACCCTCCACCCTAAAGAGAGGACAGTGTCTGGCGAGCTAGGTGGAGAGATAAATAACTCTCCCAGGGAGGATGGGCACAAGGAATTCTACAAGGAGGAGGGTGGCAAAGGGGTTTAGAGGGCATTTCCTTCACGGGGGGCTCTGGCTCTTCAGCCTTTGTGCCCTGCTGGTTTTGACCCCTAGCTTCCACGGGATGACTTCAGGGTTCAAGCCTGGCCATTCAAAAGGTACCAAGTTTCGTCAAGCTTGTTTTCAGGCTTTGACAGTTGTTCCTTTTGCCTGGAATATCCCTTCTTGGCCCCCTGAACTTTTTACTCATACTTTAAGGCCACCAGTGCCTCCTGCTCCACGAAGCCCTCCCTGATCCATCCTCTAAGCTTCCTGTAACAGAGCACTGATCACCCTTGGTCTGTCTTCCCCACATCTGATTCAAGTCTGTGTTCCCTGCACCCAGCACAGGGCTTGGCACACAGAACAAGAAGGGAGAGCAGAATGGTCAGTCCCCGAGTAGCCAGCAGGAAGGGGGCCCGAGGCAGGGATACCCAGCCCATCTCCTCACTCTGGTTCCTAAGCTGGTCCCACAGATTTCCCTGTTGGAAAAACCACCTTCTAAAATAACCTGGTGGAGGTCCCAGATGAGGCCTTCTGTCCCTACCAGCAGCCCCTCTCCAGCCTTAAGTCCCTGTGCTGGTCCTGCCAAGGCCTCTCAGGCTGAGCCCGTCTTCACCTCCACAGCGGCCTTCCCTGCACCCACCATTGCAGCTATGGATGGGACTGCCTTGGGTGGAGGCCTGGAACTTGCCCTGGCCTGCGACCTCCGAGTGGCAGGTACTGGAGTGGGGAGAGGTGGGATAGGGTGGGAAGGAAAGGGTGAGTGAAACAAGGTAAGTCTGGAGATTCTGCGAAGTCAGCCACTGCTCTTGGCATTCCAACTAACAGCAGATTTGAAGGCCAAGGTGGAGGACACAGAGGGAATTAAGGGGGAGGCTGGTTCCCCTCCTGGCCAAGCCCCTGACTGCTGTGGTCCCTCCCGGTCACCGCTCAGCAGCAGCTTCCCTCATCTCCAGGATGCTCCTACCAACCTCAGAGCAATTGTTGACCAAACAGGAAAAGAACACAGAGAGAGGCCAAGGACAAGATGAGTTGTTTGACCCTCCAGTTTTATCCAAACCAGCTTTATTTCTTATTTGAACAAAGGTGAACCACGGGGGCAGTGAGTCGCCAGCCCAGTTAAACACAAACATGCCTGGGCAGGAGCACTACCCTTTGGTTCACTGTTCGGAGCAACTGAGCTCCGGAGAGTGGAGGGAGGGGACAAAGAAGGTACCTGATTACATTTTTAGTCTTACTGACTTGGTGGTTAGGTGGGCCCTCTTGAAGGCAATTAGAAAAAAGTCTGTGTGCCATCATGGTGCTACATCTTCCCTCAATTTCTCCTGCCACCCCAGAACATTTAAAATAGGGTAACTCCAGCCAGAGGTAGGTTATCTACACAAAGCATCTCAAAGAGAAGGCATCAAAATACCGGGCCAGGTCATAGCCCCAGCAGTACTTCTCACCTTCTCCATGGTGAAGATAACTAACTTGTAGGGCTTGGGCAATAGGAGAGGGTGAGTGGAAAACCCCTCACAGGCAGGAGTGGGGGCTGTTCCCACACTGCATGTCAGATGGCCAGAGGGAAGTCAGGAGAGAAGCCTGTGGGATGGAACACCCAAGGAGGGCTTCTCAGAGGAAGCAGAACTCCGAAGAAGGATGTGGACAGAACACAGGGAAATTTCAGGCTGATGAAAAGCTGGGAGGGATAACTGCCGTGGGAGGTAGAGCTAAGTTGCGTGAGGCGGAGAATGCATTGACCCCCAAATAGCTGTTGGTCATCTTCCAGGAACCCCTCCTTTGTTCCAAGTACCATTACCTAATTTGATACTTAGCAGCTCTTTGAAGCAGGCAGAAAAGAGGCGATCATCTTTTTTTCCCACCTATGAGGCTCAGAAAGGGTAATAGACTTGCCTGGTAATGCAACCCCCAACCCCCTACACTGGTGGGGACGGCTGGCTGAGGGCCTGGGCTTCCTGACCTCCAGGCCAGGGCTCTTCCAAAGGCTGTGGCAGGGCCATGATGGGAGAAGTTGGCTGAAAGGGTGAGCAGAGCTCAGAGGTGGGTGTCACTTCTCCCCAAAGATTGGTACTTGAGGAGAGGATGGTAACTTCACTCTGTTTATGCAGCTTCCTCGGCTGTCATGGGGCTGATCGAGACCACCCGAGGGCTCCTCCCAGGAGCAGGTAACATCACCCACAGCACCCATCCTCCTCTACCTGCACAATTCCTCTATCCAAAGTACTTCCCTGCTTTCCTCTTCTGCCATTTTCTGAACTCTGCCCTCTATCCTGAGTCTCCTGAGAAGAAGTCTTGGCTGACTCCCAGCCTGGGCCTTCTCTGGGCTCCCACTTTCCATGCTGACTGACCACCCCTATTCCATCATGGCAGGAGGGACTCAGAGGCTGCCTCGATGCCTGGGGGTGGCACTGGCAAAGGAGCTCATCTTCACAGGCCGACGACTAAGCGGGGTGCAGGCCCAGGCCCTGGGGCTAGTGAATCACGCTGTGGCCCAGAACGAGGAGGGCAATGCAGCCTACCACCGGGCACGAGAACTGGCCCAGGAGATCCTGCCCCAGGTGTGGCGGCGGTCCAGCACAGGAGGGAGGGCCTGTACCATGGCGGGCACAGGTGTGGGGAGGCCAGGGTGTCCTCTGGGGCAAGATCCACTTAACCCACTTATAAAACCCACCCTCTTTAGACTTTTGCATCCATGTAGTCATCCAGCAAACAAAATTAAATCAAATTTTAAGTTAAAATGAAAACTGAATTCTGAGAAACTGGAATCAAATCTTCAGAACAGCGCTGTCCCAGAGAACTTTCTGAGACGTCAGAAATGTTCACTTGTGCTGTCCCTAAGGCTGCCTCTAGCCACATGCAGTTATTTAAATGTAATTTAAAAATTTACTTCCTCACCGACACTTCCCACATTTCAAATGCTAATAGCCACATATGGCTAGTGGCCAGTATACTGGATAGTACCCCAAGTCCCCAAAACTAAAAAGCGAGATAAAGAACCATCAGCTCATCTTTCTGACCATAATATGTGGTAGAGCAATTCTTGAAGTATATCATGTAGAACATATGTTAAGACTTACCTTTTTAGGTCCTCAAATAGCCTCTGAGTAAAATCTCAGAAAAGGTTTAGAAAACCAGGGAGTGGGTGAAGGCCCTGCCTAGGTGTAGCCCTAGCAGCCGCCAGACCCAAAGCCTTCAGCAGGACACCTGGCTCTGACTGAGGTGGGCACCAAGGACCTGAGATCCCCTACCAGCTTCTCATGACTCTAACAGGACCAAACGGTAGGTCCCAAGTTTCCATTAAGATATGAAGGCAGCTGAAATGGAGCTAGGTTTTACTAATTTATTGTAAATATTGACTTAGCCCACATGGAGTATCTCCTACCCATCTGACGCAATCCTAGTGTTTCAATTATCAGAACAACCCAGCTAAGCAGATTATCCTCATTGTATTTGTGATATAATAGACCCAGAACTTTTAAGTGGCTTGCTCATCAAGGTCACAAAAAAATGACTGCAATACTGGAGAGACAATACTGGTATTTTGGCATTTATTTTGTATAACACAAAAACTACATACAATATAAAAACTAGTGTTCATTTCTAAAGACTACAGAATATTTACAAAATTTCTAAAACTATGAAACTAATGCATTTCAAATATAAAAATTTACAAACATATTACAAAACAAAAAATGTAAGTATACAAAAATGGTATCCATACATTTTAATACTAACAGATAAAGCTATTTGAATTATTAATCATGAAAATAAGTATTTTGGGGGAAAAATTCTTCTCTATTTCCTATTTAGTTTTTATTTATTTAGAGAGAGGGGGAGGGAGAAAGAGAGGGAAACATCAGTGTGTGGTTGCTTCTCACACACCCCCAGACCTGGTCCACAACCCAGGCACATGCTTTGACTAGGAATCAAACCAGCGACCTTTTGGCTCACAGGTTAGCACGCAATCCACTGAGCCACACCAGCCAGGGCTCTTTATCCTGTTTAAATAATCCTATCTCTTTTTATAGCTTTGAGGCCTTCCTTGAGTGCAAGGACTGTAACTTTTAAAAACTGATAGTGAGCTTGGTTTAAAAGAAAGCATATTTTGTCTTCCTTTTTTTTTTTTTTAAGTTTCATCACATATAAATGGAGATTCTGATGGTGTTACCAGGACTGCTTTAATGTTGTCAGGTTTCTATTACACTTGGTCATAAAATATCTGAACTAATACAAAACTGAGTAACTCAAGGCAGTGGTTGATTGCACTTTCACAGAGAGGGCCTCTTACCACGACCTGTATACTGTAGGGTTTATGTCTTTCTGCATAAACTGTATAACTGGGTCTTTGAACTTCATCTCAAGATGATTCTGATTTCAGATTTTTTTAATGTACTGAAATAATGGTATTCCACTAATATATATACTAGTATTTCAGTACTTAAAAGTAGCTTTGCATTCCAAAACACCAGCATACCAAAAACTAGTACCACAATCACCAATCCATGCTGTCTCATTTGATGGAACCTAAAAAACAAATCTTCCACTTCCAGCATTTCTTGGACTGGGTGAGTGCAAGGGATGGCGTGGTAGATGGTTTCCCCCTAGTGGACAAACCACCAAGATTAGGGAGTCAAATGGTTCCAGAGATTAGGACCCAAAAAAGATTTTTAATAAATGCAAGGCCTGCACCTTAACACTCAGATTGTCCCTCTGGAATAATTACAGATTATGCTTTAAAATATGGATTTGACTGTTTTCTACTTGAACATAATGTAGACACCATGTCTGTGACACTGTTCGCATTTCCAAATAATGTGAAATTATTAGATTTCTGATAGATACATCTATATACTCAGAAACATAACCATGTATTCTAACACACATACAGGGATGGGAGAAAGCAGGTTTACAGTTGTGAGTAAATGCTATTTTTGCATTATTTATTCGTATTACTTGTCATTATTATTTTGTATCCTTACTATTTACCTTTTAGGTAATGAGGGCTGGTGATTTAACCTACTTTTGCCTACCCCATCAGCACTGATCCTCTCCCTCAACCAAGCTTTTCCTTTCCCCTAGGCCCCCATTGCTGTGCGGCTGGGCAAAGTAGCCATTGACCGAGGAATGGAGGTGAGAGGGCTCTGGCCAGGACTTGGGTCCACGGAAGCCAGTGGGCCGCTGGGAGGCAGCGCTTTCATGGCTCACACACTCACTGACAGCACAGCTGGAAAGAACTCAGGGCCTGGACTCTTGCAACAGATTTCAAGTCTGACCTCTTTTTGTGCTTTAGTTTACCCATCTACAAAATGTAAAATTTGGCCAGGGGATATTCCAGATTACATTGTTTCCTCATCTTTTCTATTGGAGAGAGAAAGATTCAGAAAGGGTCAATGACTCGTCCAGCGTCACAGAACAAGTAATGAAAACCAGGTCTATGTGGCTCCCAGTCCATGTTCTTGGGTTTGTGCTGATGGTCAGTAATGTGGCCTCAAGGACAGGAATCAGGGTGGTCTTGGGGGCAGCTAATCCATCCTTACACATCAGTTTACCTACTCACACATCACACACTGAACCTAGAGCAGAACCAGACACTAGACTCAGAGATAAGTCAAATATGGTCACTGTCACCAAGGTGGGGAGAGGGACAGATATAGACCCAGATCACTAAAAGGTTAGGGGTACCAAGCAGGTAGACACCCTGGAAATGTTAGAGCCGCACTGTCCCATTGAGTAGTGCTGAGTTAGAAAATATTTTCTAGAGTTGGGTCTTGGGAAGGATGAGCGAATTCCAGAAAAAAGGGAAAAGTATGAGCAAAAGCACATAGGTGCATAAATAAGCAACTCGACTGAAAGAGAGCAAGTCGTGAATGAGACAAGCAAGCATGGAGGTCAGGGGCATGGGCTCTGGTGCTGGGCTGCCTAGGTTCAGAGGCTGGCTTTTCCACATATTGCTATAACTTAGACAAATTCCATCCCCTTTCCATGCTTCAGATTTCTCAGCTGCATCATAGGAATAATAACCCTTGATGTGAGAAGTTTACATATATGCAGTACTTCTTAGAACAGTGCTTGGTAAGCGGTAGTAACAGTAAGCACTGGGCAGTCAGTAGAGGCTGGGAAGTTGCCAGGGGCCAGGTCATGAAGGCCCAGGTCCTTATTCCTCAGGGCAATGGAAGGCCTGCAGGGTTCACTAACGGGGATGACAGGAGGTATGGTGAGGCAGCCCAACGGAAGGACACTTGGCTGTGCAAGCACAGCTCGTGCACAAGCCCCTCAGCTTTATGGGCTGTGTGCAACCCACCCCATTGCTCTCACAGCCCCCACTTGTCCCAACACTGCTTTGTCAGTTATGGTGTTCCTCCCCAGGTAGGGAATTCCTTATCATAACCATCTCTGTTCATGACTGGCATACAGGAAGCCTCAGTATTAATTCTTTGCTAGAGCAATCCATCAGCCAGTTGGGAATAGTGTGAACAAAAGGGCAGCTGGCTCCCAGTGCAGACGGAAGTGAACAAAGTCAGGCTGATCCAGGTACCACTTCTTTCTCGCAGGTGGACATTGCGTCAGGGATGGCCATTGAAGGGATATGCTATGCCCAGGTACGTGGTTGCTGCCAATCAGTCCATGCCTGCTTATAAGCCGAGGCTGGGCCAGACTGGGGGCCTCTTGTGCAATATACAACCAATTTAGTTAGGTTTCCTCCCAACCCAAAGGGTCTTGGATCCTCACAATTAGCCCAGGGTGATCCTGAAGGAACCACACTGCTTCTCTCTGGGACTATTTCCTCAGCCATCTAATAGTGGTACATCCTGTCCCCACTTAGTGCCCAGAGGACCACAGAACAGAGGTACCTGAGGGAGTTGGGATGTTAAGGCCTTGGTTATTATAGAGCCTGCAGGCTGTGTGTGTTTGATGATGGGGTGATCAACCTGGGGCTGACCTATTGAGTCCTGACTCCTGGGTGAGTCAAAAATACTAACCTCCAGGTCAACAAGTAACCAAAGCACTACTAAGCAGGGTCAGGAGGGGCGGCTGTCCTGGGACTTGCAGGGCCCGGTATGGATTCAAAGCCAGATTTCTTACTGCAAAGCCTCATCAGACTGCTGCAGGAGACTGTCAGTTCTTTGGAGGCACGAAAGCAGCATGCAAGTGGAGGCTATAATGATAAGAGGCAGCCTGCCTTCTCTAGGAGACTAAGGAGCCACTGAGGCCCATACCTTTGCATGGCCCAACACCAGAGCCCACAAAGGCAAGACTTGTCACGGGCCAGATGAACCTGAGCAAGTCTTTATTGACGTCTGGCTGTTCTCCCCAAGAAACTAATACTCTGCTGTTGTTTCAGAACATTCCCACCCGGGACCGGCTAGAGGGCATGGCAGCCTTCAGGGAGAAACGACCCCCAAGATTTGTGGGCGAGTGACTCCTATTGAACCTCTAGCATGGGAGATGCACACCTTTAAGTGCAGGATCCAGAACGAAAACTTGCAGTGTGACCGCCCTCATTTCACGTCTCTGGGCTTCAGTTTCCTCACAAGGACAATGATGGATATAAAATGACTGATACGGTGCCTGATACTAAGGTGCTGACCACACCAGCTTCTGCTCCCTTCATCATTCTCCACCCCGGCTAGATCGTCACTGGGGTCAGGTTTGCTTGGAGAATGCCTATCTTTCCCTATGGACTCCTCTGGGCTTTTGTATTGTTGGCTCTCAGGCCTGATTGCTGCCTCCAAGTTATCAGATGCTCACCAGAAATGGCGAGAGGTTGTAAGAATTACACTCCACCCACCCCAGTTTCTAACTGTACAGTAGGGAACATAAAGGAAGCCTATTAGGTGAGTAGGTGCCTTGAATCAGACTGCAGATTCCAGCTTTCTGCCAGTTACTCACTGTGTGCCTCAGTTTCCTCATCTTCAAAATGAAACTGTTGTGAGGATATTTTAAAAATAAATAAAATGCCTCATGTTCAATGTATGTGAGTTATTAATATGCAGTGTTCTTGTGACAACCAAATGAAGGCATATCTGTGAAAACCTTTTGTAAACTACAGGGTGGCAGGCCAATCTCTATAGTTGCACAACACTGAGAAACACAGGGAGGCTGACATGCATATATGCAGTAGTCTCAGGCTCCATCCTCCCACACCAAGGCAGAGAATAACAGATGGCTACATCCTACAGCAGGGCCTCATGGTCCTTCTTTAACGGATCGAAGCTCTGCCTGAGCTTCCTGAGCCTATGCCTGGCCTAGAATCACAGTCATGGGCATGGACACACACCAATAATGTTAATTTACTACCAAATACAAAAGTGCTCCAAAGCTGTGCTCATTTCCTGGAAGGGAGAAGGGCCCCCACTTTAGAATCAGCTGCAACCTAACAAGCTGCGAACCTGTTAGGTTACTTGTGAAGTAGGCAAGTAACAACCTACTGAACTTCCTTTTTCTCATCTGTTAAGTGGGGAGATTAAAACCCCCGAGAACTGTTGTGAATGAGACAAAAGTTGGAGGGCTACCTAGTGTAGAACTGGATCTCAACAAGCACAACATCCCATCACATCCTTACATTCACAAAAGCTAGTTAGTATCAGGTAACACAATGTTCTGAACTATTAGAACCCAGGTCCTGAAACGAAGACAGGCTTTTGAATTCACACAGAGGAGTAAATGAGAGAAAATACAGCGCAGTTTGAGGACTGTAGGAGGAAGAAGGTTCAAATTCACGTTGTCCAGTGGGACACTGGTGAGCATTAATTTGAAATATGGTTTAGAATAAGTCTCATTTGATTCCAAAAGATGGTATGTAGCACTCCAGTTAAGACTGTGGCCAGCTTAGAGAGTAAAATTCTAGTCCTAAAATATGCTACTAATAAAATAGGAATTGATTTTTGTTCTTTAAAAAACTTAAAACACATGAATGGCAAAACACATTTTGTTAGTTGTCAGTAATACATCAAGGAAGGGACCCATACTGTATTCTACAGAGGGGATTTGCAGAGGACACAGACAAAAGCTGCTGATAGTTTATATTGTGATTGAGGCTGGTTCTCAGAAAAGCCCATATTGTTCTTGTCTCCATGCTATGTAAGAGCACCTCTTGAAATCTTTGGAAAAGTCTTTTTGTGGCTCCTCCTGTTCCTCTCAGTTCTTGTCAGTTATACTCTAATTAAAAATTGGAGGGGTTGAGATTTATAATCCCCCATCTTCTACCTAAATACTATGCTCAGCCTAAGTCTCAGCATGCCTCCTCAGCACACCCACATACACAGAATGTTATGCTATTCAGTTGGAGGGGAAAAGGCCACAAGAATATTGAAAATTGCAAAACCAATATCTTTCCTCCACCTCACGAGTAGAAGGTACTTTGGTATCTATTTATTTAAAAAGGTAGCTTTTTCCCCCTTCCAACAAAGGTTTTATCTTCCAACAAACACATTTATATAAGTATATATTTCCCAGACTATTTTTCATGTACTTCCTTTCCAGTGGCTACACATAACCAGGAATAGCAACTCATGAGATTTCTTTCAAACATAAAATTTAACATAAATATCAAGGTATCCCTGTAGGTCTTTCTTTTCCCCTTCTAATGACAAACGCCCAGAGTTAAGGAATTGACCAGGGCTGGAGAAAAGTGACTGGCATAGGTGTTACAACACAAGCTCACAGGTCTTCCCAGAGTCCGGGGCTTGACTTTTCAAAACTGCTGGAGGAATGTTCTCAGCATGATGTCGACTTGATTCAGGATTATGGTCACCATATAAATGCAACAATTTGGTAACTTACAGACACTGGCAGTGTGGAAGACCTGCCTCCCTTTGAGCAACAAAGAGCACCTCTGTAGCCCTTTCGGGTTAAAAAGGGCATTTAACGCAAAGGGAGTCTCTGATAATTCATGAAGTGCATTCTGAAGTCATCTAGAATGGAGGCCGCAATCTGCTGTACTTGGGCGTCTGCCTCATTGTGCTCCTGGATGTCACACAAAAGCTGCAATCCTTTTTCTTCAACTAACATTTTGCAGTATTTGCTGGCTGAAAGAAAATCAAGAAAAAAATTTGATGGACAAATTGGTATTTTAAATATTCCCAAGTCACCACTTTCACCCTTTTGAAGAAAGGGTACAAAGGTGTAAGCCCTTTGACATAGGAAGTAACCTAAAATTAGTCATTTCAAAAGAAATAGGTCAAAACTTCCATAATGTGGGGAGGAGCTTCAGGGAGGTGAAAGAAGAACTTACATAATGCTCAGCTTGTATAGTGACATAACAGATGACTATTTCAGTATGTTTACTGCCAGACAACTCTATGCTTCACATATTTCTAATCTTAGCAAAAAGCGATATGGACAAGAACATTTTTTATTACAAAATTAATATACATTTCAAGTTCAGGCAATAAGGTGAGCTAGATAACCTGAAAACCCCAGATGCTAGATAAAATATAATTGAAAAAATTTTTAAATGTAATAGTTGAAATGTACAGATAAAAAAAATTGTCCAGAAGCCAGACAGAAAGAGAAGAAAGCACCTAAGGTACATGACCTAACCTGAAGCTATTCTGATGCAGAGAGGAACTGTCAGTTTCAATAATTTAAGAATTTAGATTCTAATTTAGGAAGTTAGAAGCAAAATCAATTAATAAAGCTGGTACCTCAAAAAGGCTAGACAAGAGAAGCATTAAGACAATGAAACATTTTTACCTTGGCCTGGGCTCTAGGCTGGTATAAAGGAGTAGAGAAAAGTCTTTCCTGAGAACTCATAACCTCAGTTCCAAGTGGGTACAGGGTTTGAATTAATACCACTTAAATGTTCTGGGAACCCTTAAACTGAGAAATTAATACAAAAATTAGTCTAATCCCAGGGAAATCTCTAGGGTACTCAACAGAAGAAAATAACACACTGTGTTGAAGACACATGTCCACAATTCAGTCTAAGAAGGATTCTCTTAATCAGTTCAAGAGCTGATTAGACAGAGAGAAATAATGATTCCGAAACACAGCTAAGGTAATTACCAAAAATACTACACACAAAAAAGCCAAAGATACAGAGTCTGTTTTTTTAAAAAAAGGTTACAACCTGCATGACTGGCATGCCCACAGCAGTCATAGCCACACCTTGCAGTCAGCCACACCAGGGGCCAGCCCCTAATACCAGCGCGCCTGCGTAAGTTACAGCCCTGAACACGGAAGGTCACAGCAGCCCACTCGGGGGATAGCCGGGGGCACCTGACTCTGGTGGTCTGATGGAATGGGACAGCTGAACTCAATAGGACATCTCCAACATAAGGCCACTTCTTTAAGAACAGAAAGCAAAGGTAATCATAAAAACAAACCCAGAGGTTTAGGCAAAATGAGGAAATGGAGGAACATGCATCAAATAACGGACAAGACAAAAATCTCAGGAGAAGAACTAAATAAAACAAACACAAAAAAAGCAATCAACCAGATAAAGAGTTAAAAGTAATGATCACAAAGATCCCCACAGAACTTGGGAGAAGAATGGATTAACACAGTTAAGAACCCCCTCTAAAATATAGAAAATATAAGGCAGTAACATCACAGCTGAAGAAAACAGTAACTAAAATGAAAATACACAGGAGGGAATCAACAGCAAATTAGATTACACAGAAGACTGAATCACAACACAAGAGAGCTTCTGACCAAGATGGAAGTATAATGTGCTTCACTTCCTCACACAACCAAAAGAAGGATAACAACCAATTAAAAAAAAAAAAACAACAAAACACTGAACTGTCAGAAAATCAAACTGTATGGAAGTCTGGCAACTAAAGAGTTAAAAAAGAAACATTCATCCAAACTGGTAGGAGGAGCGGAGAGGACACACAAAAAGGCAGCAGCTGGGGGACCAGCAGGTGAGGAGGTGGCTAGTGCACTGGTGGTCCCACATTCACAAAAGGATAAACCAGAAGGAACAACTGGAGAACAAGACAGACTGCGCAATCCAGGATTCCAGAGCTGAGAAAAAAGTTTCAATCTCTGGCTGTAAAAACCTGTGGGGATCACGGCAGCAGGAGCAACTGCCAGTCTCACAGGAGAGTCCATTGGAGGGGCCCATGGAGTCCTAGAACATATACCAGCCCACCCACCCAGGAACCGGTCCCCGAAGGGCACAATTCGCTTGTGGGAAGAGCGGAAAGTGACTGAAAGTGGGGTGAGAGCCAAGAAAGTGGCGTTGTTCCCTCTCTGATCCCTCCCCCACAAACAGCACCACAGCACAGCAAAATGGGTAGCCCCACTCTGGCAAATGAATATCTAAGGCTCTACCCCTTACAACATAACAGGTACACTGAGACAGAAAAAATATGGCCCAAATGAAAGAAACATATCAAAACTTTGAAAAAGAACTAAGTGATGAGGGGATAGCCAACCTATCAGATGCAGCGTTCAAATTACTGGTAATCAGGATGCTCACAGAAATGACTGAGTATAGTAACAAAATAGAGGAAAAAGTGAAGGCCATACAAAGTGAAATAAAGAAGAACCTACAGGAAACCAACAGTGAAGGGAAGGAAAACGGGACTCAAATCAACAATTTGGAGCAGAAGGAAGAAATAAACATTCAACCAGAACAGAATGAAGAAACAAGAATTCAAAAAAGTGAGGAGAGGCTTAGGAACCTCTGGGGCAACTTTAAATGTTCCAACATCCAAGTCATAGGGGTGCCAGAAGAAGAGGAAGACCAAGAAATTGAAAACTTATTTGTAAAAACAATGAAAGAAAACTTCCCAAATCTGGTGAAGGAAACAGACATACAAGTCCAGGAAGCATGGAGAATCCCAAACAAACTGGACCCAAAGAGGGACACATCAAGACACATCGTAATTAAATTGCCAAAGATTAAAGGAGAGAGTCCTAAAAGCTGCAAGGAGTTCCCATAAGACTATCAGATGATTTCTCAAAAGAAACATTACAGGCAAGAAGGAGCTGGAAAAAAGTATTCAAAGTCATGAAAA